TATTCAGGTTTTTCTGTTTCCTGTACCCAATTCTGATATCATTGGATACAACCTTTAGACTAAACCTGAGCCACGCTTTTTCACACCTCAAGTCGCTGCTGCCCATTTACACTCTTACATGGCTAATGTTCATAATTCAAAATATTAACAATTTAAAAAATGGACGACTAGTGCAATTCTCTGCCAGTTCTTTTTTTCCCTTCCGTGTGCATAGTGTCAGACTGTATTACAGTAAGGCCTGGAACCCAACTAAAACGCTTTCGACTGCTTCAAATACCTCAAGTATTGGGTAGCTGGGTAAGAAAACGTTCATCAAAATATTTTGCGTTTAAAAATCACCTGCCTTTTGTTAGCAAATGAAGTCTTGGCACTTTGTATTGATGAGCTGTTAAATTTTAAGGTTTTAAACAATTCTCACAGGTTTCTGCGTGAAGGATCTGAGTTTTTGAACTGCTGACCCGGCCACGCTGGGACAAACCTAACGCTTGGTTTCGCGACAGCGGAGGGCTTCTTGCCTGACGTTACCAACCTTTTCATCGAGGGTTGGGTGGGACTGTTTCAGGTTGGAAAATAGGATTAAGGTTTTTATAAACTCAGGTGGTGCTGCGGGACCAGCCTCGAGGAGGCCGGAGGCCAGCCGGTGATGAATCCCGCTTGCTTCCATGGGTGAACAATGTGGCTCACGTGAGCAATAGGGAAGAAAACTCTTTCTTTTCATCCACTCTGTGGTTTTAAAGATGCTGGCAGTGGTTTGGGTAGCTGCCCTGTCCCCCGGCAGCGGGTCTGGGCTGCGGTGGGGTCTAGGTGACAACGGGGCAGAGGGGTGTGCACGCCTTTCACGCGCTTGAATGTTTCTTTGTTTTCCTTTTTCTTGCAGTTCTCTACATCCAGTGATTTTCTTCATTCCCCGAAGTTAAGGCCCTCTCAAGGACTACCAGTCAGTGATGAGTTATTTTTTAGTAGAAAAAGAGCTTCAAGGAATTTATTTCAGAATAGTATAGATTTTAACTCCGAGCATTCTTCTGTCTGTGCGGGTAAGTATTAATGCAGGGAAGCGCGTGACCTGCCGCTTGCAAAATAGATTTAGAAGAAGGGAGCATGAATTCGTACCTTCGTGAGCACGGCTTACACTTTGTTGGTTATTTGTTTTACTTAGTTTTGTTTCCTGCCAAGATCCTGGGCTGCTGTTTTCCAGTCCTGCTGCCCACACACAGATTTTCACTAGTTGCGGTAGACCCAAGGGAGTTTCTAGATCAGCTTGTTTTGCAGACAGCGAGACCAAAACCAGCTGTGTGGTTACCTGAACGGATTTATTGAAGGAAAGGACTCGGGATATCCCCCAGCTGCGGAGCTTTTGCAGCGTTAGGAGAAAGAAGTACCACGTCGGTCAGCCTCAGAGTAACTCCGCCAGCGTCCTTTCACGCTGTGAAATTCAGTACGAACTGCACATAAGCAATACATTAAAAGAGACCCAGAATTTTACTGACTGTGGAGCAGGAATACGTGTTGGCTAGAACAGGAGTTGTTACTGTGAAAGCTGTGATGTCAGGAATTGGCTGGTGGCAGTGTCAGGGTATGGAATACCAAACCGCAGACCAGGCAGCGTGTCGGACAGATGTATCTCTGTGTGGTAGGCTGTTCGGAAGGGCAGATCAGTGTTGTCTGTTGTAGATTTGCATATTTTCCCTATTTTCTTTGCATAAACAGCTAGGGTGGAAAGCTGTCTGAGAAGTGAGCTCTAAAGGCTGCTCTGAAGGATGAAAAATGTCATGTTTTTGAAACCCGGGTCTGCAGAGGGCTGTGGGTGTAGTGCTCCACTGGCAGCGTACACTCAGGGATTTGCCTTTTAATAGCCAAAAGGCGTGCGGAGAGACTGGGCAAGACCAGGCCTGATTTACTGTGTTCTCTTGGCAGCAGGTTATATCCTCCTTGTTTTCTGAGGAGCACTGACACGCGTGGCGAGCCAAGTTTACTTGCCGTTAGCCTATGCGTGACATCACTCTAAAGAAACTCACGGTGCTTTGGGTTTTGAGGTGGTGTTTTCCCTTCATTGTCATCCATTCAAAGAGGGGAGTGTTCTGGGTGTTTCTTTTGACCCCCTACGATTCTCAGTTGGAAAAGTGCCCTGGCAGAACGGCCAGCCTTTCTCAGCTTGTGCCTGTGCAGCGTGGTACGAGGTTGCTTAGAAACTCTCCGCGTAGATGCTTTGCAAGCAGCTGTGTTTTACACTGAAGGTTAGACAGAGGGTCCTGATTCCCTGTTACATATTAGGGTATGTTTTTTGTTGAATACCGTATGCTAAGTATTTATGGTTATTTGGGTTTTTCTTTTGAAAGGTGCTTTGGGCTCTCATCAGCCGCAGATTTCAGGGAAGTGTGGAACACTTGGATACGCACGTGGGAAGAGTGGTAGTGTGGACTCTGATTTACAATTCTTAGGATTAAATAACTGTCAGCAAGACAAAGGTAGGTGGATTCAACTGTGTCGTGAGTCAATGCTTGTTCCTTTGGAAATGTCTCTTACTTCTGTGCTGCCTCAAGAACCAAAAGCTATCCCTACAGCGTTGTTCAGTCCCGATTCTGACGTGTTCGTGCCTCCCTCCTGTGTAGTGCTTTGTGGTTATCAATCTGCAGTCCCCACCTTTGGTATCTGTATCCCTGTGCTGTACAAAACGCGGTGCTGAAGCAGCACCTGAACTTACTTGGAAAACTGATTTTGAGGGTTCTGTGAATGTGACAGGCCCGATGGGTCCAGGCTGCTTACCGGCAAGGGCCAGCTCTGAGCCTCGCCCCCCCGACCGGTCGACGTACCTCCTTTGGACCCCTCTGAGGTGTGGAGGGCAGCCAGGGTGTCGCAGGGGGAGGCACAGGCTGCTGCTTTCTGCCGAGCACGACAGCGGGGTGGGAGTGACCCCGGTGTGCTGCAGAGCCGCTGTGTTGGTGCATGTACGCTCATCGCTTTGATTCGTGACGGTCTCGTTACGGCTGTTCCCTGCCGGAGAGCCAGGGTGCTGCCATGCCAGGCAGCTTTTCCTGCTGTTTTCAGAAGTGAGGCCGGGGACTGGATTGAGTGCACCTTAACGCTAGAGCTGAGATAAATCAGGACCTGGGAGATGTGCAGACCTGTCTGTTCGTAGGTGGTAGTGATGATAAAAGTGCCGGATGTAAACTTTGTGTAGGAATAAACTCCCTGGCTGGAGGGATAGATGGTAATGGTACCAAATCTGTGGAAAGAGCTGCTTGGAGTGGTCCAGATGGCTTGGACATGGGATAGAGCCGACAGCCCTCTCAGAAGATACGTAGGAGCTCCATTTACTCAGTTTACTTCTAGACACTCTGGGCTCTAGATACCGTGTTTTTCTCCTGCCTGTGGAAAGGAAGGAGAAATACCCTCTGTGTTTTTAACTACAAAGTCAGTGCTCTCTTCTCATAGCCCGGGTCTTCCGAAGGCTGTCGGGTACTTTGCCCACACCAGCCGACTGATTTCTCTGCAAACAGCTTTTGTGCCAGCTATTATTGTTACTTGAGCCGTCCTCCGGTAGGACAACCCACGCCTGACTTGGTCGTCTCAGTTTCGCAGCCCCAGGGGAGCGCTGGGCTGCTGCAGCCTTGGAAAGCAGCAGGAGCGGAAGATGGACACCTTGGAGCTGTCTGATTTGCAGAGGGATTGTTTATGCTAAGACATAATCAAATGGTTTTCTTTGGAGTGACACAGACGATTAGTAGCCCAAGCCCGACAGGCACTGTTGCTGGTTCTCCCTCCGGGGCTGTGCTTCCCCATTCTCCCAGTTGTGCCAGTGGAATTCTCCGGCGGCTGTTCTCTCAACGAGACTGCTGAGGTGGCCCTGCTTCCAGTGATCCTTCAGAGGCTTCAGGAACTCCATTACAACTCATCCTCTTTTCCACTTGCACGGCTGAAAGCCTGAGTGCATGTGAGGAACGTGCATCTGGTTTTCATGGGAAACAATTGCAACAGTCTAGTTCCAAATCTACACCTATATTTCCCTTTCAGAACTACTGGTTTCAGGGAAAAAATCCTATTGAGATTTTTGGTTTTGTTTGTTTTTTTAAGGAAGTGGAATGTATAACATTCCTGATTCATTTGTACTCTTGTATATTGAGTTTTGCATGGTGTTTGCAAATTCCGTGCCCGGCTGGCTTGGAGCAGGGAGCAGCAGACAGGACAACTGTGCCCAATCTACTTGCCACGTTATGTTTTTAAATGCAGTTCTTTGGAATGTGACTGCAAAATAGCTTAGGCTCAGACTCATTTGATCAAATGCAGAAAAAGGAAATCGGTATTTGGAGGGGCAGTGCACTTTGCAAGATGAACGTGGCTGATTGTAAAATGCTGACCTTCAGTTTTGGCTGTCTGCAGGGTGTATCATTTCACTGTAAATGACTAGTATAAGAGCTGTCAAAGAGGCTAATGACCACAAGTACTATTCTCTCTTTCTTTGCTCAGTTTTTGCCAGCCTGAATTTTTCCAGCAAGACCCAGAGAAGTTTTTGCAGTCAAGCAGAGCTCACGGTGTCCTTCCAGGGTCCTAATGCAAGCCAGGGCACCTTCATTCTGCCGTCTTACCCTCTGTCCTCACCCAGGAACAGCCCAAAGCACGTCTCTGCTCCAGCTGACTCCCCAAAGAAGTCACCAGACAATGCCATGAGCTTCTCAAACTCCTGGCCTCTGAAAAGCTTCGAAGGACTGCCTAAGCCTAGCGCGCAGAAGCAGCTCCTCGGTCACAAGCCAGGAGACAGTACCGGTAGGAATGTTGTCAGTATAGTGAAAACAGGGTTGGGGTTTGCCTTCACTAGTTAATACATGTGCAAGATAGTATTACTCATTGCATTTTGACTCTTTGCCTCTTTATTTGCCTTTGGAAATTTAGTATGGGATTTCCCACACTCAGAATAGCTCTTTAGAACCTGGTTACAAACTGCTCCATCTCCAGTGAGTGGAGTCTGTGCTGATTTCATCCCAGTTTATCCCAGCTAATGGCAGAGATGGCTATTTACAGTCCGATTTCCTCTCCCGTGGAGGACCTCATGTGCAAACTGGCTAACCTGAAATGGTTTTAAGTTTATTTAATCACAATTGCTTAAACAATTCAGCTGATTTCCTTCCACCGCTTACTAAAGACAATCTTATTTTAGGTTAAAAATAGCTTCACTATCTGTTTAGCGAAACTGGTTCTTAATGACTCAGGAGGCTTACCTTCTGGGAGCAGAGTAACAGTTTCCAGACACCGTTTTGCAGCGTTTTAAAGAAATCTGTTTTAAATTCCGTCATCATTGAGACACATATATTTGCACACATGTAGAAAATTCCTACATCAGTCCTTTGGCAGTCATCTCTCTGTGGAATGCATATAGCTTTGTCTCACAGATGTGTGCTCGTCCCATGCTGATTTTCTTTATATTATCGTTATTTATAGCATTTTGGGTTCTTTCTGTTTCTTTAGCACACCTTTATTGTTACAGCATGCTACAGGAGGGTTGGTCAGGGCACCAGTCGTCTTTTGCCCTGACCTCAGAAAGTGAGGTGTTTTTAAAGGCACTAAGCGTACACTGATACGCCCGTGCATGGAACACCGGTCTGTATTGTTCGAAAGAAGGGGACACTAAAAGTGGAAGAAATTGAAACACAGGGAGATGGAAAAGGTAGCGTCAGGAGGTAATAGAAAACTCCATGCAACGAGGCAAATCTGGGAACATCCTGATGATTTTCTAAAATTAGATACTGAAAAATGTGCATTAGTAAGTGTTCAGGAACGGGGCTTTTGGACAATTGATGTTGGAGAAGGAGTATTGCAAGTTTTTCAGAGTACGAATAGTATAAAACTGAAGTTAGGTGGGGAATCACTATCTACTCTGGCAGAGAGAAGCTTCCTTTCACGTGTGTGCGTGTATTTACACACGTGAATACCTGCATATGTGAAGGAACTAAGGGTGCCATCAGGTTTTACATAAAAGCCCTTCTCTGAGGCTGCACGTGGAGCCGGGCACTGCAGGCTGCCCGCAGAAGAAGCTGCTGATAAAGGAAGGGGATGTGTGTAGCAGGACAGTGGGTCCACTGGGGTCAGACCTCTGACCGAGGAACTTCCGAAATCCTGGAGAGCGCGCTGAAGTGTTGGTTCCTTGCCTTGGAAGGGGACAGGCCTTTCGGCCCACTCACTGCAGCTGCTTTCGTGTTCTTCCTGCTTTTATGCAAATTTGCTCATACTCCTTGAAACATACTTACAATAGGAAATAAATTCTGTGCAGAAGTGTAAAAGGACTTTTATGGTGTGACATAGAAACGAGACGCGAGGTTTAGTCGTTCCTGCCACCCCTCCAAAGCCCTAACGTCTGCTTGTGTTCTGCAGGGGGGAGTTTGCCGGAGAAGCGTTCCCCCGTGCAGCTGAAACCCACCCTGGTGAGACACCCAGCCTCCCGCAGGGGCCTGACGGGGGCCAGACCCGTGCCCCCCATACCCCGCATGGCCAGCCCGCTGCCCGATAAGATTGAGTTGAACCTGGCCAAGTGGAGAAACGAGGAGAGTGAGGACGTGTGGCTGAGTGATGTGGACAGGAGGCTTGCTGCTGGTCTCACCGAGCTCAGTGTTGATGGCGAGGAAGTGGACCAAGAAGAGGTTGGTTTAAATAGGATATAATGCACTGTCTACAGCTGATATATGGTAAACTTTGTGTTTTCTGAACAAGAGCCGGCAAATAATCACAGAAGCACAGAGCGGTTTGGGTGGGAAGGCACCTTAAAGCCCACTCAGTGCCACCCCCTGCCATGGGCAGGGACACCTTCCATAGCCCAGGGTGCTCCAAGCCTCATCCAGCCTGGCCTTGGACAATCCCAGGGATGGGGCATCCACAGGTTCTCTGGGAACCTGTCCCAGTGCTCCCACCCTCTGCGGGAAGAATCCCTTCCTGATGTCCCATCTCCATCTCCCTCTTCCTCATCGTGCTGGGCTCAGTCTCCCGGATTCACCGGGGCGTGCTCTGCACGTTGTGCGTTGTGAAGAGCCCGGGGTCCCGACTGTGGGCACTGGCGGCCACCAAACGCTGCCTTTAGTCCCTTCAAGTCCATAAGAGCAGCTGATGTCTTTTTGCAGGAATCTGTCCGTGTGTTTTCAGAATGAAGCTGGGATCCAGGGTCGCTGTGAATTTCATTTGCTTGCAGGGTGATTATTCCTGTGAAGCCAAGCAGTGAAAGAGATCGTTACAGCCCTGCGTGCCCCGTGTAAACGGGCGGTCACGTAGCCCAGTGTGCGCTGAACTCCCGTGAACTGAACACCAAGAAACATACTTTCTTTTGCTTAAAAAGGCTTTTTTCCTACGCAGTGAATGAACCCCGTTGTTGTGTTTTCCATCCTGTTCAGATGCAGAACTCACTTCGATCTCTACGAAACAGCGCAGCTAAGAAGAGGGCGAAGCTAAGCAGCAACTTCGCAGATCTTGAAAGTCCCGATTCTGCCCTTAAACTGGATGTGTCTGCGGACTCGCCCTCCCACGCTTCCTCCCCGAGCACGGGCTCCTGCGGCGAGAGCGGAGTTTACAGCCAGGAGTCCCGGGCTTCTCCCGTGTCCGCAGTCTCCCAGAGGAGGAGAATGATGTGAGTGGAAATTGTAGCTCAACTCTGCTTTGCTCTGCTCGCACACAGGCCCTGCTGGCGTTACCGAAATGTTAGAGGAGGGACAGTCTGTGAGATATGTTGTATAAGATTGCTTTGCTTAATAGCTCGATTTTTAGATGTGAGCTGTTCTATTTAAAAGTACGTTGCTGTATGCAACACCTGCTTAATTAGATTATTCGAGTGTGTGCTGGCGTTTAATTGGGAGCAGTTCCCTGGTGCAGTGAGGTCCTGCTGGGGGTAGTAAATGTTTTATTAAGACTTCAGCCTGCCATGGAAGGTATGTGAACCACAGCCTAAACAAATCAGTGAGGCGGAGAATGAGTGAAGAGGAAGGATGAGGTTTGCTTATTATGGCCTGGAAACTGAAGAAGGAATGGGTTGGGTTTTGTGATGAGACAAAGACGATGTAGATGTTTCCATTGTGAATTGTGACCTGTTTCCATTTTATTAGTGGCTATTGTTAAGGTAAAATGCCTTCACAGGGCTGTTCCAAAACAAAACGGCGTGATGACACGTGCTACTCCGACTGTAAAGAGCAATGACCCATTGGTTATTAGCAGTAGGAGCTATTTTATTTTTTAATGAAATTAGAAAGCTTTTGGGGCATTTTGCAAACTTTGCAGTACAGAATCTGTTTTTTTCTCTCAGAGCCCATGATAAAGCCACTTGCAGTTCTGATCTGAAGATAGCTTTTATTTTTGTGTCCTGAATGCACCTCTGGATAACTGGCATACAACTGAACTAACAGAATGGGAAGGAAAAGAGGGAATATAGAAAAGAAGGGCTTTTTGAGACAGGGGAATGATTCAGAAACAGCGGATGTTCACAGCTGGGCAGTCTCAGAGCTAGTTCATATGTACGTGCCTTCCCTACGTGCATTACTGCTGAGATTTAAAAATCCTCTTTAAAATAACATATTAAAAAGCTAGGATACTGAGAAAGTCAGGACTCTCAACTCCTGCATATGGGCTTTTTCCAGGCAGGGCTCAATTAGGCCACACTCTATCCAACATTCCATTTCCATTGTTCAGTGACACTCAAGCTTAATGTTTTACAGGGTTCACAATACGGGAATTCTGAACTAGCAGGGAAGAGAGGGGGCATCTGGCAGGAAGACTGGATTTGTAGAAGTGACAAAATATATCCCAAAAGACATTAAAAGCCTTGGAATGCTCATAAAAAAAGTCAGAGTTCAGATGCTGGTTTGTGAGCATTGGAAATCAGCATTTTCTGCTCACAAAATCTGTAGTTGGGCAAGAAGCAGGCTGTGGGCTGCTGCGGTGTATTTACTTTTAGAAGGATCGGTTTATGCCCTGATAAACTGCCGTGAGCGACGGGAGCTTGATACTGCTAACGGCAGATTCCTGGTGAGGGCCGGTGTGCTAGACACGGGGCTGGAGGCAGCTCACTGCTGGAAGGGAAAGGTCGGGGGGTTTGGTCACTCCCATTTGCCATTCTCTGCCAGACTGGACGTAGCATCATAGAATCATAGAATCACAGAATGGTTTGGGTTGGAAGGGACCTTAAAGATCATCTAGTTCCAACCCCCCTGCCATGGGCAGGGACACCTTCCACTAGACCAGGTTGCTCAAAGCCACATCCAGCCTGGCCTTGAAGACATCCAGGGATGGGGCATCCACAGCTTCTCTGGGCAACCTGTTCCAGTGCCGCACCACCCTCTCTGTGAAGAATTTCTTCCTGATATCTAATCTAACCCTCCCTGATTTCAATTTGTACCCGTTACCCCTTGTTCTATCACTACAGGCCCTTGTAAAAAGTCCTCTCCCAGTGCCCTTGGAGCCCCCTTCAGATACTGGAAAGCTGCAATGAGGTCTCCTCGGAGCCTCCTCTTCTCCAGGCTGAACAAGCCCAGTTCTCGCAGCCTTTCGTCATAGGAGAGGGGCTCCAGCCCCCTGATCATCTTCGTGCCCTCCTCTGGACTCGCTCCAAGTGGTCTCTATCCTTCTGATGTTGCGGGCTCCACAGCTGGACGCAGCACTCCAGGTGGGGTCTCACCAGCGCAGAGCAGAGGGGCAGAATCCCCTCCCTCGCCCTGCTGGCCACACTTCTCCCGATACAGCCCAGGATACATCCGCAGTCCCCTGGGCAGAACGATTCCTTAGCTTCTCGGATGTGTGCTAAATGTAGTCCTTGTGTAAAGTTTACTCCTAAGTGTTGTCCTTATGGTGTTCTTCCTCATGGACCTGCTCACCAAATAATTTCAGCTGCACTCCTTTCCTCTGCTCCGTGTGAACGTCTGTGGAAGCATACTGGAGATACTTCTCCACCGAGTGCCAGGGGGAGGAGAAACTGAAATCTTTTGTCTTTGTCATGAGGTGTTACTTGTCTGGGGTCTGACCAGCGTGTGGGATTGTACCTGTAAACGTTTGTTTTCTATTTAACAGGTCAGACGCCTTTCCGCTACTTGGCAGCAAATCACAGCCTGTGAGAAAGAGGGAGCCCGGCGCGGCAGAGGGGAGCTGCGGCACAGGTATCTCGCTGCGCGCGTCGGTACGGGCGGCTTCGTTGGCGTGCTCTCCCCACGTGTCTGCTCTTACTTGCTCAGGGAGCTTGGGACCCTCAGCACTTAGAGAGAGGTGATGCTGTTTGGGCAGTGAGATCATGCCGTGGGACTTGGGGGGAGAAGGAACTCAAGGGGGTCTGCCCTTCTGTGTCAGGAGAAGCTGAGTGCAGATGCATTTCAAAACTGAGGGTAGCGGCGTGTGAAAGTTCATTGGACATCAGCTGGATGAGGGTACGAAGGTCCAAAATGTCACAAGCAGTTAATTTCCTGGTAGGAGATGGAAGGGAAGTGACACAGTTCTATGTTATGCTTATAGAGAACTGCAGGGAACTGCAGATTTCTGTAATGGGCAGAAACTGATTGTGATAATTTATGTTTAATAATTTTGATTCAGCTGGATGGAGATCACGGAATCACAGACTGAGTTTGGGTGGGAAGGGACCTTAAAGCCCCCCCAGTCCC